TCAAGTAAACGTGTCCCTAGAGCCCCTTACCAATCGATTATATTATCTGTTATCAATAAAACTGTTGAAAAATTAGTAATGGCACAAGTTAATAATTTTCTAGAAACATATAACATACTCTCTGATTCACAATACGGTTTCAGAATGGGAAAGAATACTGCCTCTGCCCTGTCCAGCTTTGCTGAGTATGTACATGAAAGTCTAGACTCTGGCCTACAATTAATAGTGCTTTTTATAGACTACAAAAAAGCATTTGATACCTTAGATCATGACATACTTCTACAGGCTATGTATGAATGTGGTATTCGCGGCCCGACTAACAGCTGGTTCAGGAATTATTTAAGTAATAGAGAGATACGTACAAAGATAAGCAGTGTCACAGGGGAAGCGGCGCCAGTGAGCCTGGGTGTGCCCGGCTCAGTTTTCGGACCCGTGGGCTATGTTATGCATGTTACTAGTGTGTCGAATGTTGTAAATAATTGTCAAGTTTTTATGTACGCAGACGATATGTGCGTGGTTTATGCGTCTAAAGATATTTTACAGGTACAAAGATATTTGCAGACAGACTTCGAAAATATAACCAAATGGGCTCATGACAACGGGATAATAATAAACTTCAAAAAAACACAATGTATGCATATTCATTCGCCATATAATCAAAGTGCAAAAAATACAAACAAAAATAACATTAATTTAATAGGTCACACATACTACTGCTTTCATAATAACAAACATGGATGTAATTGTGATGTCATTCAATATGTCGACAACTTTAAATATTTAGGCTTAAAAATAGATAAAATCTTAAATTTTTCAACTCATGTAAATGATGTGTGTAATAGGTTACGTTCAGTGCTAGGCAAGTTCTTCCAAATACACAGAATAGTCAGCTCAGACACAATGAGGATGGTTTACCACGCGCTTGCCGACTCTCTGATCAGCTACGGTCTATTAGTATACCGTACGTACTTTCCAAACTTACTTAAATGATATTAAAAAATTACAATTTTTTTTCTTAAAAAAAACGTTGCCCCACATTAGGATTTTCTCCTGTGTCGTGGGTGCGTTTACAAACACACAATTTCACATACACAATGACACCCAGACACGAAACAACAATTTGTGGATCACACAAAGTGTTGTCCTGTGCGGGAATCGAACCCGCGACACGTTGCACGGCAGCCGGTTGCCCAGCCACCGCACCAACCGTGCAGTCAAGTCAATTAAGACTGATAAAATACTTAGTGAGTAAGAAAGAGAAAAACATCTGCAAAAAGGATTATGATAAACTATTTCCACTGTGTAAAATACTGCCCATAGATAAGAAAGTTGAGTATTTAATAGGATTAGAGTTTTACTATAGCAATGAATATAAATGTATAATAGAGAAAAAATATAACGCTAGAAGGGCTAGAGAACATATGTTAAATAAACCTAGAATAATAAACTACTATGGTAAGAGAACTAATAAATATATAGTGCACAAAGATATTGCTGCCTCGTTGGCCGAGTGGTCGCATGTGTGATTACCGGGCAAGGGGTCTCGGGTTCGATTCCCGGGTCGGGCAAAATATTACTGGGTTTTTACAAAATTCTCAGTAGTAGCACGGAGTCTGGAATTGTGCCCGGTATATGGCAATAGGCTCACCCCCTATTACATGGGACTCATAACATAAATAGTGAAAAGTGGGTGTTACATTGTACAGTGGCATAATGTGCACCTCTGCCTACCCCTTCGGGGATAAAAGGCGTGATGTTATGTTATGTTATGCCAAAGATATTCAATAAAATAGATATATTGAGAGAGGAAAATAAAGTGAGTTTGTTTATGTTGAAGAAGAAGCTAAGGGGAGAATTGCTTAAGAGAGCATAGGCAATGCATTCTTTAATTACTATCCTTTATAATGTGTATTTTTCGTTTTTGTTTTGATTTCAGTTTTCTTTTAATGTTATATAAAGTACTTAATTAGCTAGTAAGAATAAGAAATGAGCGCTTCTCGCCGTTAAACGATATGTTTGGCGAGGATCGTTAATTATAGAGGTAAGAACAAAATTTCTTTCTGACTGGATTTAGGTGTTGCATTGTTCTCACCATAATCGAACCAATAAAACTATGTAACTAGAGAATTGTATTGTAAACCTGATTGAAAAAGAGTAACCTATGGAGTTTCTTGCTCGTTCTTCTCCATAGGAATCTACGCCTTGGAATGAGCAACTAGCTTCACTTATAAAATTTTGTTGTTTGACGTTCAAAAGTGCCGTCCTGGTCTAATTGAAATAAATGATTTTGACTTTGACTTTGACTTTGAAAATATTAATCCTAAAATTGTACTTTTGTTAAATAAATAAATTACCTCTTGGGAAAAACCTAGTGTACCTTTTGAAACTTTGCATATAGATGCTTTAGGCCCATTGCCTGAGTCCAATGGTTATAAATTTGTATTACTTATTGTAGACTCCTTTACAAAATTTTGTTTGTTATAACCAATTTATAAACAGGATGTTAGTGAACTCAAACGCACATTTACTAATGCAATTTCGCTCTTTGGCGCCCCTAAACTCTTAGTGGCCCATCGCGGGCGAATGTTGAATCGTCCAAATTTTCGACGCTTTTATCTGAGCTGGGTTGTGAGATCCACTTTATAACTCCCGAAATGCACAATGCCAATGGGCAAGTAGAAAGGTACGTCAGAACCGTCTTCAACATGATTCGAATTGAGACGAATCATAAGGATACTAAGTGGGCCGAACAACTCTGGAGGCTTCAACTCATTCTGAACATCACGAAACATAAGACCACGCAAACTTCGGCTTTGAGGCTACCAGTGGATATCGACGCCACCACACCGGTCGTCAGGACACTAATCCGTGACGTGGCAATCGAGATATCTTAAAATTTGGAAGGCCGGCGGGAATTGAGTAGAGCTAGAGCTCAAGAACTGTTGGCACGAAATCAAAGCCAACAAGATGACTAAGTTAACCAGCAACGGCGGACACTGCGAACTTTTAATGTTAATGATTTTGTGTTCGTAATAAAGTATTCCCAGTCGACAGGAAAACTGGATCCAGGTATGCGCGGACCTTACCGGGTGATCAAAGTGTTACCTAGTGGTCGATATCAGTTGAAACTGCTCAGCGGCTCCTATGGCAAGACTACGCAAGCAGCTGCTGAGTATATGATACCTTGGAATGGAGAATGGTGTTCTGAGTATCGCGAGGCCTTCTTCGAAGGTAAGTGTTTTATATATGTTGGACATGCGATTCAGGGATGCCTCTGTCCATATACTGGTTATGTATGTATGCTGGACGTTCGATTCAGTGATGCCTCCGTCTGGGTATAGACGTACCTATAGTGAGAGGTATCGGTCTATAAGAACTAATGTGTTCGTGCGATTCAGAGATGCCTCCGTCAACCTCAGGCAGAGGGGACGCCTTCTGTCTGATCTGTTCACAGGTGCTGCATGCTGCCCACATTGTTGGAGGGCCGCTACTTACTTATATGAAGACTACGGAAGTACATTAATGAGAGCTCTCACATATTCGATTTTGAAATTTGCATTAGCATTCCGAAACAGCAGTGCCTTATACGTGGTTATGTTTCAGATAACGAAGAGTATGATTCTGGTGCAGGCTCATCCTCAGCCACCCTCAGACCTCGGACAGACCTCCCTCAGACGAGGAGACAGCCGGACCAGGTGGTGCCCCTTCAGCAGCAGGACCAGCCCTGGTGATAAAAAGCGTCACGAAGATGGCGCCGAGGACGACGCCTCTTCAGGATATGCCGATTTAGGAACCCCAACAATAGTACCTAACATAGCCTATAAAAAGCGGCGCAGACGCTGGTGGGGATTATTTGCTCGTCAGCTCTCGTGGAGGTCGGTAGTAGTCGGCGCGATTTGTGAATGTTTTTGTATTGGTAAAAGTGCTATAAGTCTTGTGAGTACATACTTTTCTATAATTGTGATTTTGCTTGGTGTTTTGATTTTGTACTTAGACTAAGTTAAATTCCATGTAAATTAGTTTTAAGAGATTAATAATATTTAATAAAGCCTCATTTATTCCTTAATAATCGATTTACATAGTTTTTTTTTTTTTTTACAGTATCGAATTTATATAGATTTGTAGTAACAATTTAAGATTTTTAGTTTAAAGTTTAGGGAAAAAAATATACAGCACAAAGTTTATTAATAAGTAATTTGATTTTCATGCATTTTTTTTTTTAATATTTATTAAGGAAAAATGGATGAGATGATGATGGAGAAAAATGGAGGCCTTTACTCTGTAGGGAGGCCTACAGAGTAAAGGCCTCCTCCATTTTTCTCCATTGATCTCTGTCTAAAGCCTTTTCTAACCAGTCATTTCCCACTGTGTTCAGTATTTCATCGAGCCACCTCTCCCTTGGTCTACCTCTCTTTCTCTTTCCTGACGGCCTCTTCCAAGTAGTTATCCGTTTCGTCCATCTATAGTTTTTCATACGTGCAACATGGCCAGCCCATTTCCATTTTAATTTTTTGCAGTGTTGTAAAGAGGTTTAAGAGGTTAATTTTTGTTTAAATATAAAACTCTGTTTTAGTGAATAAATTTTGTTTTTTCAAGGGATTTTGCTTTTGAAACCTAATTATATCGTGTTTTATTGTGGGAGAGCCATGCTTCGGCACGAATGGGCCGGAGTGCTACCAAGGCGTCACAGAAAACCGACGCGAAGCAACGCTTGCGTTGTGTTTCGTCGTGTGAGTGAGGTTACCGGCGGCCTAATTAACCCCCCCTCCCCTTCACCAATCTCCCCGATTCCTTAATCCCCAACAATCCTCAAACTCATAATCCCCAAAAGGCCAGTAATGCACTTGTGACGCCTCTAGTGTTCCAGGTGTCCATGGGCGACGCCGATTGCTTACCATCAGGTGATCCATCTGCTCGTTTACCGGCTTATGTCATAACAAAAATATACCAACATTTTCATATCATAATTATTTGATACACTTTAATATTATTTCAGCATTCGGCTTAATAAGTATGGAACACTGTATCTCAACAGAGATTGAGAAAAGTATTAAACTAGTCCATTTTGTCAAGGAATGTCCTGATTGTTCGGATTTTCCCAGAGATCAGGTATGTGGCATCCATCCAGATGGTGAAGGATTCAGAGTCAGAACATTCAAGAACGAATGCGAACTCGAAAAGTACAATTGTGAAGTCAAAGAAAATTTTACAATCACTGATTACTTTATTTGTTCTAACAATGCGAACGCAGAAGCCAATGAAAGAGATAACAATAAAGAGAAATTTCAAAATATGTTTAAAAAACACAAAGACTCTGCAAATGAAACAACTAATGATGACAAACTTCATACGATGATTGAAGAAAATACTGTAAATAATACCAATAAATTTAAAAATCTAATGATTTTACATGGACCTATGTCACTAGGTGCAAATATTAATAAAAGTTTTGCAGATTTCTTTAAATTGACTCATAGTTATGGTATACCAATGCAAAGGTTGAAGCTTAATTTCAACGACACTACAAGAAGGAATATAATTAAAAATCTGGGTCCGCTCAAACTGTTCAAACCTCGGTATATTATACCGAAGGAAATCAAGGAAGATCACTGGCACTTGCCCACAATAAACACCTGTTTTCATAAATGTCCAAAGGTAAGTAAAGATATGTGATGTATACGAAAGACATGCATATTGTTTGTAAAATTGTTGTTTTTTATTGCAAATTAATTTTATATATATATATATATAACTACATAAATATTTAAAACTTAAAATTAACTACAACTAAACTACTAAATAAAATGAAATTAAAAAAAAGAAAACAACAAAAATTATACCCTTCATTTAGGCGTCAAAGTATTCATCCGCATCACTATCACAGGGCAACGTTCCCAGAAGACTGGCAAATAAGCATTGCCACGTTGAATGGCAATACTTATGTTCTGTTCGAAAAAATAGCCAGCCCTCTGGTCACGTGTAGAGTCGATTAGCGTACGGGCGATATCTTTAAAAACAGAGTGTGCACTGGGACCCCATGGCCCAAGTGTTTCGACCCCAAACGGCTCAAAATAGTAGTTACCCACTAGATTTGGCCCTAGAGAGCCTCTGCGGCGGAAGCAGCTGCATCAACGCATGCAGCGGTACTTAGAAGATGTGATGGCGCAAGGTTGTCTACCCACGTCGCGTCCTACACCAAAGGCCTATCCATCTTCCAAGGCAGCAACGACATACCATCTGGTCTTTTGCCGTCATCACGTACCAAACCATTAGGTTCTAATACGGCTGGTACACCGGCTGAGGCAAGAGCACGACGAATGATGTCGTTGATGCTGGCATGGCGAGCTATACGGCCTGCACTTCTGCAATAAGGAAGATCATGGTCTCAAGCCATCAAGTCTCTCTCCACAGCGACAATAATGCGGAGAAATACAAGGAGCACCTAAACGTAAGCATACGGCTAGGCGGAACGTTATGTCATCCAACCTATAAAGGATGTACCAAGTACCTATGAAGGATGACGGGAGTGCCTGAAGCCACAATCCTGATTCCCATTCTCCCACAGCCAATACGCGAGCTCGCTCTGCAGTATTAGAAGACGATATGATTAAAGACTCACGAATTTCACTGCACAGCGGCACGTCCCACTGTCTCTGAGAAGATGAGTGAACAGGTAAATCTGTAAGTAGGCAAGCCATTTTCCACACTTCCACTGAATCAGTCAAAAATGGCACCTCAAAACTGATCAGTGACGAAGAAAGAATTTTCCTGACTAATTCAGAGGTACTGTGGACCGATGACGTAGCTTGTTGCCAAGCTCGGTCATCCAAAACCACATCAAGTATGGATGACAATGTGTGTCTGATAATTTTGCCTACTTTTTCTAAAATATGTGAATGTTTCCATAGATGTGAAGCGCGGAGAATATAAGTAAACTAGCTGTTGCCCGCGACTTCGTCCGCGTAGATTAATGACTTCTGACAGAATTCATCAGAATCAATTCAGTGCCCAATTAAGATTTACCTATTGTGAAATGATTTATCGTAATTTCAATAAATTAAAAATCCCGCAGGGTTATTACCAGTCCCGGCCCGATCACGTAAGTTTTGAGTAATAAAAACTTCGACTATTGTTGTACAGAATCTCTATGAAATAAGTTCAGTGGTTAAAAGATAGAGAGTCCTGGAGCATTGACGCATGGTCCCGTTCCTGAGGGACTTCTGTGATAAAAACTATCATACATTACTTAGGTCTCAAATCTTCGTTTTACCGAATGTAATTCAAAAAGATTCAATGATTCTAGATTCAATTTTCATTCCCAATTTCACACCAACTATCATTCCCTATTTCATCCCCTTAGGGGTGGAATTTATCAAAATCCTTTCTAAGGAGATACCTATGTCATAGTAACTTTATGCATGCAAAGTCTCAGCCCGATCGGTTTAAAACTCGCAAAGTATCACACAAACTTTCACCCTCTATATTACCCACTTTGGGGTGGAAATGTTCAAAAACCTTTCTAAAGGGATGTGTACGTCATAATATCTACCTGCACGCCGAATTTCAACCCGATCTGTGTAAAACTGACAAAGCCTCATATAAACTTTCATACCCTACATTATCCCATTGGAGGTGGAAATGATCAAAATCCTTACTTGGAGATGCCTACGTCATAACATCTACTTTCATGCCAAATTTCATCCCCATCGGTGTAAAACTGACAAAGTTTCATACAAACTTTCACCCCTATTTTATCCCCTTGGGGGGTGGAAATGATCAAAATCCTTTCTTAGAGGATTTTTACGTCAAAATATCTATCGGCACGCCAAATTTCAACCAGATCGTTTTATAATTGACAAAGTTCCATACGAACTTTCACCCCCTATTTTACCCTCTTGGGAGTGAAAATGATCAAAATTCTTTCTTAGAAGATGCTTACGCCATAACATCTATCTGCATGCCAAATTTCAACCTGATCGGTTTAAAACTGACAAATTCTCATACAAACTTTCATCCCGTATTTTACCCACTTGAGGGTGGAAATTATCAAAATCCTTTCACAGTGGATTCCTACGTCATAACATCTATGTGCATGCCAAATTTCAACCCGATCGATTTAAAACTGACAGTCTCATACAAACTTTCATCCCCTATTTTACCCCCTTGGGGGTGGAAATTATCAAAATCCTTTCACAGCGGATGCTTACGTCATAACATCTATCTGCATGCCAAATTTCAACCCGATCAGTTAAAAACTGACAAAGTTTCATACAAACTTTCATCCCCTTTTTTACCCCCTTGGGGGTGGAAATTATCAAAATCCTTTCTTAGCGGATGCCTACGTCATAACATCTATCTGCATGCCAAATTTTAGCCCAATCTGTCCAGCGGTTTGGGCTGTGCGTTGATAGATCACTATGTCAGTCAGTCAGTCAATCACCTTTGAATTATATATATATAGATATATATATAGATTTTGGTCCAAAACAACAGTACCGAATTAGGGTAAAAGCCAATTGTTGTGATTGATTTTGTGTAATCTATCCGAAATGTGATTGAAATTTTGTATCTTGTCCTCGATGAATTTAGGAAAACATTCATCGAATATTGGTGGAACTAGGAGGTGAAGTGAGTACTTACCAATAATTTTGATATTTGGAGCTATTTGATTAAATTTTGCTAGAGTCGTTAGTCTGTCTGTAGAGTCAGGAATGTATAGTTCACAAATGTATACGAAATGGATCCTGGTTTATGTTTTTATAATAACTATCGTGAGACATCCTAAAGTAACTAAAAATCTCCGGTTACTCACGTGAATATATTAAGAAAATCTCAACACTGACTTGCTTGCGATTGAAGACTGGTCAAGAAAGTATGGGGTTGCAGTGAATGTAGGTAAATGTCAAGCCCTCATCTTGGGTAGTTCCTATTACTTGAATAACCTAAATGTCAATCAGCTTGATCCGATAACATTTAACCAAACCACCATACCATTGTCTCCTCAAGTAAAGGATCTAGATTTATATCTGGACAGCGGGCTCAACTGGAACTATCAGGTTGCTCGGATTGGCCGGAAAGTCATGCCACGCTACGATCTCTCTACAGGTTCAAGAACTTTCTACCACCAAATATCAAGACGCTGCTTGTTATTGTTATTGATTATGCTGATCTTTGTTACTCCGATCTATCCCAAGACCTTCTTAATAAATTAGAGCGAATGCTGAATATTAGAATAACTGTATCCGCTTTATCTTCGGTCTTCGTCGACCACATCTCTTTCTTTCGCGCTATGCTAAAATGACTTCCTGTCCGTGAGAGGAGATCCCTCAGATCCCTCTGCATGCTCTTCTCTATTCTTAATGATCCTTGTGCTCCAGAATACTTAAAATCCTGCTTCCAGTTATTAGGCCATTGCCACAACCGTAACCTCCGCTCGACGGACAACTAGCTTCTTGAAATACCTTCCCACTGCACCTCTTTAATATCTAATTCCTTTACAATAACTGTCATCAAACTTTGCCAATTTGTATATTTTTTGTAACTTAACTTTAATTTGTTTGTTGTTTTTTTGTTGCTTTTGCCAGTCAGGTCTCTAGGAGCGATCCCTGGGAAAATTTTTAGTAACTAAAAAGAATAAATAAATAAAAAAAGCTCTACTCTATTACTTTCTTTATTTTATAATACATATTTTCATTAATTTCAAGTTCACTTTTACATAACAAATTGACATATTACTTTTATCTTGACAGTCTATCTTTGCTCATGGTTTGGACGAAAAATTCAATAAAATCCTACTTAACCTCACCTAACCTAGGTAGATTAAGCTAGAGTTCCTCTACTCTTAAACTCCAAAACATGCATTAACAAACGACACTACGATCACTAGGGGCGGATGTTGCGCGTCTATATGTATAATACACATATAAATTATTCTAGATGTTGCCCGCGACCTTCGTCGTTGTAGAAAAATGAATTTGGATAGAATTTGAGCTTTTAAATTAGTCTTTACCAAGGGATATTCTGCGGTATAAATAATAATAATAAATAAAGTATTTGAGTACTAATACTAAATTCACTGCTGCAATCGGAATGTGATTTATGGTGAGAGGACCACATGTTGAATGAATCATCTCTGAGAGGTATTTGAAATACAACTCTGATTCTAGAAATGTTTTAACATATTGAGTCAAAGTTTTCAAACACAATTTGATAAGGCAAATCAAAACATGTTGGAAGTGGACCCCCCTCTCTGCATATATCACTTTCAATTCTTAGTCTAGTCTCAGTTGGAAATCCAATAGGATGTGTAGCTTGGAGAGAAAAGTATTTTTCATAAATAGATATAGCATCTGCCTGAGCTTGGTCAGAGCTTGTTGTGCATCCGTTCAATAAATTATCTCGGAAGTGCATGTCAGCCATTAAAAATTCTAATAAAACCCTGCAGGACTCTTGTTCTAAAAATTCACACACACACCATTATTTTTTCACACACATCATTATTTTCTCTCCAGTTGCACTTTTGTGACTTAATAGCTTTGTCTAGTTTCGATACATGCTTGTATGGAAGATCTAAACTTTGAGTACGATTAATTCTTGATAAATTCCCAGTTTTAAGTGGAGTATATTTTCTATCTATTTGGGAAATTGCTTTGTGAAAAAGACTATTTTGAGATTTGTACATGAAGAATTTTCTTAAATTAACAATCTGCTGATTATGTAAATTTGTGATGTCTATGAGGCCTCGCCCTCCCTCGTCTCGCGGTAATGTGAGTCTTTGCACACAAGATCTTGGGTGGTGTTTTCTATTCGTGGTCAAAGATGTATTTATTAGACGTTGTAACATAGTGAGATCGGTTTTTGACCAATTTATGATTCCGAAAGAATAGGTGAGTACGGGAATGGCGAAGGAGTTGATGGACTTAATTAAATTACGGGATGTTAACTGCGATCTTATCAACATGTTAAGCCTGTGTTTGTATTTAGCGTATTATTATTATTATTGTCAATTTGTAAATATTTTTAATGTAAGGAATTGTTAGGACACTACTGGACAGTCTCAGGGTGCGTTCCAAAGATCACGTGTAGGTACACATAGTCCCCGTTGCCGTAGGATTTTCGGGATAAAAACCGTTAACCGAATTTTGTTCAAATAGGTTTAATTAAGGTTTATATGGCCGATTTTTCGTGAAATGTGAAGTGTGAAGAACTCATACATCAGCAGTAGCGTGTAGCACGGGCACGGCTGACTTCCTCCGTTTCGATAAGGTCTCAGAACTGGCGAGGGAGAAATACTTCGTACCGCGAAAAGTACGTGAGGCCATCGAAATAAGCCGTCGTCCGAACTTTAACAGAGACGGTGGCTGGGCCTTACCACCTGCCTGGAAGCCGAGTCTGAAATCTGCGCCAAACTACAGTGTTGCGGGTCTGGAGGGTGACACAGTGAGCACGGTATGTAACACTGTTGTTGCGTCGACACGGGGTTCGAAACCAACACTAGTCAGTCAGTCTAGTATGCCAACAGTGACACGCGCGCCGCCGTCACCGATACCACGAATAGTGTACACGGAAAGTGCGTGTGAATCACGGCAGAGGGTGCGCTGGGCCCGCAGACTCGAGTAGCAGCAGAAATGCTGCTCATGAATATGAGCCTCTAGCATGGCTTGAAACTAGTCGAGTTCCTCGTCAAATTATTACGTGAGTAAGCCGAAAACATAATGATTTATTTTGTATGTCTCACGAAAGTTATAATACAATGCTGTTCTTATTTTGTTTGAAAGGGTATACTTCCGAGATAGTCTCATTTCCATGAGGTCAGGATTTGATGATGGATTCTAGGGAAACCGAGGGCAACTTTCGAAAATTGTAGGTACGAGTAATGCGTCTATTATGTTTTTCAATTAGGATTTTTATACACTATAATTTGATAAGGGTCTTGAGTCGACCTAATGATGGAGCCGACAGACAGTTGAGAGAACTCCTCAACGGTTTATATTAACCACATTGTATTTGGGATTCATTAATTTGTATTGATGAGGTCTTTACACCTTAGATAGAGTGGGACTGTCATTATGGGTCTGGTGATGAAGAAGTATCATTGTTAAGGGAAATCTTCAACGGTTTATAGTAACTACCTTATGTTTGGGCTTGTATAATTTGTATTGATTACTATTTTTCACCTTTGTAGATTTTAAGTGACAAAACAGGTCTATGTAGCATTACACTGAAAATGGTAAAATAATAAAAAAAAACTGCGTTTAAAAAACCGACTTCCAAAAACCAAAAACTAGTAAAAAACAAAAAGTAACTTAATGGCCAAAATATTGTGCCTAATTTACAATTTATTGGCCATTAAGTTATATCAAAATGGTATCTATTAAGGTTTTAGTAATACTTTTGTATGGAACCTATTAGTACTAATAATAGTTATTTTTTTTCTATTTACTTTTGATTTTAAACCTGTCCCTAACCTCTTAAAAGAGTGCGATCGAAGCCGCGAGCAGAAGCTAGTCCATGAACGAAGTGTATTCAATTTACTTGTTTTTTAGAGTAAAGCCAGATAATACCATGCTTTACTCAAAAGCAACATTTAAATATGCGTCAATAGATTGCGTCAGAGATTTAGAACTCCTCCCTCGTAGATGATAGCGTGATAATATGTGTATAGCCTTTAAGTTGACACGACCTTGTAGTAATATTCATATTAAAATTGATTTAAATCCATGCAGTACTTTTTAAGTTCAGCCCAGACATACATGCAGACAAACAAAAATGACTAAAAACCATATTTTTGGCCGAATACCAAAATATCGATTAAAGATCACGCCCCAAGTATTCTTTTAAAAAAATAGTCAATGTATAGTTTTGACTTTTCTACAATTTTATTGTTATTGCATGTAAAAGATAGGTAGAAGATTGTGTAACATGTATTTCATTATAATTAGTCTGGAATTATTTTGTGGTAGTTTCAGCCTTTCTCAGCAGTACGCAGTAGGACAATTTTATTACAGGCTGCTGGTTGGTCACTGATGATATCTTTATGTCTGTTCAGAAATGTCCGGATGTTTACCAACCGGTATGTGGACTGAAAGGGGACCACAGCAGGTGGCCTAATATCTTTTTCAAAAACCACTGCTTCCTGGACGCAGCTCAGTGCAAGTTATTCTGGTCAACTCCGAATGATACTCTTGCTGGTATGAATTTTTCTAATTTTATCTCGTAAGCTCAACTATATTAAATAGGACACATTGATCTTTTTAAGACGTACAATACTGTTGTACATTATTTTGATCTATCTTGTAGGGTTCAACCAAAAAATATGTTTATTTACCTACCACACATGATATTAGAACTATCATCGGCGAAGCGGAGGTGTGTGATGTATTCGCCATTGATATTGATGCCCAGTCCACTCCAGTGTAAGAGCTTGAAAACGTTTTCCAATGCATTGGTTTTAGTTTCGGAGAAATCACGTCTCCCTGTCTCACGCCTTTCTGCAATTAAATTGGTTCCGTGCTCTCTTCCTGCAATGCTATTCTCTAAGAAACAGTTTCTACAGGTCTCGAATCAAAGGCTTTTTCATGGTCCATAAACGCCAAGCATAGTGGCAAGTTATACTCCTCAGTCTTCTGTATAACTTGCCGCAACGTATGAATGTAGTTTATGGTGCTAAAGACTTTCCGGAACCCCGCTTGTTCGGGAGGCTTGAAGTTCGAGGAACCGATGCACTCGAATCGAAGTCATCAAACAGCGTTCGAGGCGGTTCGTGATGACGCTCGAATACAGCTTATATACATACATGGCTCAGAAACGAGATGAGTCTATAGTTTTTCAATGAGAAGTGTGCGTTGATAACTGATTTCTGATAACATAACATAACATCACGCCTTTTATCCCCGAAGTGGCAGATAGAGGTGCACATTACGGCACTTAATGTCACTGTCCCATGTAACAACCACTTTTTGCTATTCTGTGTTATGAGTCCAACATAATAGGAGGTGAGATTTCTGTTATAACACTCATAACATAACATCACGCCTTTTATCCCCGAAGGGGTAGGCAGAAGTGCACATTACAGCACTTAATCAATAACAACAGCTTACATATAAATGCCCACTGCTGAGCAAAGCCTCTTCTCACATGGAGAAGGTTAGGGCATTAATCACCACGTTTGCTCAATGCGGGTTGGCGATTTCAAACTTATAATTAGAAATTATAAGCCCAGGTTTCCTCACGATGTTTTTCTTCACCGTTGGTCAATGGTGTCTAAATAATCTTAGTAAGTACTTATAACTCTGAAAAATTCACATTGGTACTTGCCATTGGTAGTACCCTCGTGCATGAGAAGTAAGCATCTTCAACCTCCGGGCAACCACGACATACTGGAGGTCAATTCGGTACAGTTTGCCAACTAGTCAAATTCAATACTTTTTTCGAACTGTTGAAAACGACAGTTTTCTATAACTTTTGTACGAGACTGTGTTTTGTGACGTCACGTTTTTTTTAGTGTCAAACAACATACTTATTTTTAAAAAAATTGCTGGAAAATACTAAAATTAGGTTGGTCATAAAATTAATGAAAGTAACTATGATTATTTTTTAATATTTGATTATATAGAGGTAGAACAGTCGAAATAATTTATTCTTGACTAAGGCAAGTACCCAATTCGAACTCTCGAAGTGAGCTTCATTAGTCGAGATTATTCTCACATTTCGAGTTTGTGTGTGTGTGTGTGTGTGTGTGTGTGTGTGCGTGTGTGTATGTTTGTTACTCAATCACATCAAAACGGCTGAAGGGATCGGGTTGACATTTGGAACAGAGATACATTGCGGTCTGGAATAATATACATAGGCTACATTTTATCTCACGGGAAAGCGGGCGAAGCTGCGGGCAGAAGCTAGTCTCACATAATTGTCGCGGAGAACCTAACGGGTTACCGGGGCTCCAGCTCGACGTGCAGGAGAAGGAACGGGGTGGTTTTTAGTCAGTAAGAGTCTGACACTCCCTCCCGCCTCACCCAGGCGGGAGCAGTCATTCGATGATATTCCCCGCTTAAAAAAAAGTCTCACTTAATCGGACAGCGATCGAGCACACGTTGAAAGTTCGAATTGATATTATATAGAAGAGCCTAGCAGTTATTAATATCCGCCGTAATTCAGCTCTCGTGACAGTGACAAGTTGCGAAATGGTAATCGAGTCTGGCTGATATCGACATACAATGCTACCTGATGTAGATATATGTGACCTATTATCACAGAACATTGATGGATACCAGAACTATGCTGTACTGACTATTCTTTGATTCTCTTTCGTGAAATGCAGATTGAAAATATTGGTAAATTGTTGTCTTGAATTAGAAATTCTTTGTACCTACACAACAATTTGTCTTTTAAATGCCATATATAATTTTAACCAACCTTTCTTCAACCAGACTTTTAGAAAAACCTATTAATTTATTTATTTTTATTATCATAACATTAGAATCAACAAATATTTAATATACTATAAGCAAACTATACACATTTATAGTATACGTACATATTCACAAATAATTAGGCTTAAGGCTTTGTTGCACCACAGAAAGTAGTTATAGTATTGTTAGTGTCACATTTAACAGTAACTGCAACGCTGACTTTAACAGTGACAGCAAAATGTGTTGCACCAGCGAATTCAGCAGCTTTGTCAAAGTTAAAAGTATTGCGAGTCAAATGAGGTGTGATTTTCTCCAGATGTGGGTAACATTTTTAAACATGGAAAGACTAAAGACAATCGTAAGAAGTATAAAGAATTTCAGTACACTGGACTGGTAAAAATATTTGCATATTTTTTGACATGGACATTCGCATTCGCGAATATCTAAAATATGATATTCGTTACAGTACTAATACCTATGTAGTTTTAGAATAAAGTACGACATATAGTAAAATTAGTCTCAGTCACCGCGCGCCCGTTGCAGTCAGTGTACTTATAAGCACATACAGTCGAATTACTTTTGGCGACATTCATGTGCTGTAACTCTTGACTGCAACGGTAGTTGAGCGGCTGACGCTCACTGCTCATAATTGTCCTTAAAAAAGGATAGAATCCTTACTAATATTATAAATCGGAAAGTGAGTTTGTTTGTTTGTTCCGCTTTCACGCCGAAACTACTAAACCGATTGCTTTGAATTTTTGCAGACGTAAAGTTATAAGTGTGGATTAAATAATAGGGTACTTTTTTTCCCGGAAAAAAATTATATTCTAGAGGGAAAACGAAATTATTGGTATAGATGGCGCTTTGTGTATTGATACACTACCGCTCAAAAGTATTTGGCCACCCTGTAAAACACATTTTGTGAAAGATTTAAGAAATGAAACTAAAACTAAAAATGAACTGAAAAATTTTAAATATTAAACATAACACGTTTCCTAAATTTTAGACTCATCTATATGTCCACCTTTGTTTTTAATTACGGCATCCTTGCAATTAATTTCTCCAGTGTCGTCTTAGTTATCTTCTGCCATTCTTCTTGTAACTTTCTCCATAAGTCTTCCTGAGATGTAGGACAACATTTCCGCACTTGTCTATCTAACTGATCCCACAATAATTCGATAGGGTTGAGGTCTGGGGACTGCGGAGGCCATGTCATGAGTTTCAACAATTTTGTTGTTCTTTTCCTTTTAAAAAGTCCTTGCAGAGTTTCGACGTGTGTTTAGGATCATTATCCTGCTGAAATACAAATCCCGAACCAATTAAACGGGTTCCTGACGGTACTCCACTATTCTCTAATATGCTTTTGTAACCTTCTTTCTTTAAGATTCCCTGTATCCGTACAAGATCTCCAACGGCGGAGCCACAGACCCTCCGCCGTGTTTAACAGAAGCCACAGTACAAGCGTCGATCACCCTTTCATTAGACTGCCGGCGTACGAAAACTCTTCGATTAGATCCAAAAATTTCAAATTTCGATTCATCAGTCCAGAGAACCTTTTCCCAATCTTCTGTTGTCCAATTCTTGTGTTCCTTAGCCCAATGTAGTCTCTTCTTTTTATTAATAGCTTTAAGAAGTGGTTTTGAGACCGCATCCTTTAAGTCCTGCGTCAAGGAGTCGTCTTTTGATTGTAGAGACACTCACTGGTTTATCACGCCCTATGTTGAATTGTGCTGCTATTTCTGGTGCGGTTAATCGTCTATTCCGTTTGCTTTTGACAACAATATTCAAATCTTCACTCGAAGTGGTGGCTCTTGGTCTACCTGGACGAAGACTGTTGCAAATTGTTCCTTCAGACGCAAATTTCTTAACAATGTAGTCCACAGTTTGCCTTGGTATCTTCTGCAATCTTGATATCTCACGATTACTTTTACCGGATTTATGAAGACCGATTATAATGCCTCTGGTCTTTTGAGAATGTTCCTTCGTTTTACCCATTTTCACCAAAAAAAACAAAACTTAACGCGCGAATGACAAAAAAAATGTTACTAGACTTTAATTGTTGAGTTGGAGAGCCTGATTTCTGGTCCAATGACATCAAATAACTAAGGTTATTCAACCTCTAATAATTATTCCACGTTACCGACTTATTTATTTCTTAAAAATGTAATTAAAAAGATAGTGCAACTTAAAATAAATTTTGAAGAAAATTCCGGCAATAACACTATTTTATCAAAATAGTGTTATTGCCGGAATTTTCTACGACCAGGAATTCGCCAATAATAATAAGCTGTTTACCTTATTTGAATGTAGATAAGTACTTTACGATGAAATACAAACATTGGAACATAATAAAATTGTTTTTAATGAAATATTGTTGGTGGTAATATCAAAAGTGCAAGTGGCCAAATACTTTTGAGCGGTAGTGTATATGTCACATAGGCTACTTTTATCCTTTTGTGACGCGAGCGAAGCCGCGGGTAAATACTAGTTATTACATAAAGTATTCAGTGGTTGCAAAATGAATTTCCGAAACTAGCGTGACCTCCTCTACTATTTGAATTTGATATGTTATTAGATTTCGGCACCGATACTTTTATTTCTATTTATACATGCAAGATCATGTCTTTCGTCTTCAGAACCGGTTTTGCGAGTATCTCTTGTAACAGGGATGTGCTGGTCAGAGTTTCAGAGATTTGACAATGCGTTTGGCAATTGACAGATGCGTTTTTGACACTAACTTTATTAATAACCAGAGAAAAGTGAGCAGTTACAGTTATAGT